TTGGGAAAAAACTCCAGTAATATTCATTACTACGCCAAAGGTTCCAAACAGTGCATCATAAGTGCAATAAATTAATTAATTAATTAATTAATATACTGTTCCATTGTTGTGCACATTTTCGAAATACGTTTCATTCAAGGTTAATCTGATTATTTTTTTACAGCCATATACGATAGTTAACGAACGAAACGGACGAAAATACAATAGCCAGCAAAAAAACGGTGGTTATCAAAATGGTCACCACAGCACGCCCAACAGAGCTCCTTCTGCTTTGAGTCGAGGAAGTGGATACGACACAAACGGCTCCGATATTTACGTCACTAGCGGAGCGTATAAGGCACCTTCGGAAATGAGGTAATGAATGTCAAATAATTAGATATCGAGACGTAGTTGACTATACGTCACCAATACTAGCACCAGCAAAGTTATTGATCAAAATAAATCTTTCGACTTTATTCCAATTCAATACAGCAGTACCTTCCTCAGCAACAGGTAGAAAAAAATCGTTTCAAAGTCGATCCCAAAATCACTCAGTCACAAACACTTCTTAACGCCGTATTCAAATTTCAAAGTATAACAGCTGGGTTTCGCATATGCTCTACGTATCTTCATGAAGAGTTTTTATTGAAGTAAAACGTCTTTACTTGACTTGGGGAGTAAGATGCGTGACGAGAGCGTTACGAAAAGTGTGATAGGGCCAGGCGAACGGAAGTTGAGAGGGTTGTACAAGTTAGTGAAGTTAGAAAGAGAGAGAGTTACGTTTCGTATATTACTGTACGGGCAAGAGAGGGAGGTGCAAGAACACATTTACGGTCGAGTACACTCTGAAGAATTAGGAGAAAACTATTATCATACGTTGCCAGTAATTTTAGCAGGAGATGTCAATGTTAATTTCGCGTTCGAAGGTGAACAACTCTTGGTAAACTTCCTACAAGATAAATTAGAACTACGAAGGAATAATAACCGAAATGAGCCTACCACAAGACATGGAACAACAATCGCTGTAGTTTTCTCCAGATATCTTTCTAGTTTTCATTCGAAAACATACGTATTTTAGTTCTCATGTCATAAGCCTATTGTCTCGATCTTACAATCAACCACAGTAATTACCGATAATGAAAATAATAAATGAAAATGAAGAATCAATTCAAAATTAATACATTTTTATGAAGTTCTACCCCAAACATTAATTTTGTACTTTTTGACAAATTTCTTTGTTTTTATTTTTACACGATATGCCATTAATAAATACATTCAACCCTCAATTCTTACCCTTCTATCACCAACCCCTATTTTTCCCCTATTTCCGCCAGGTGTCAATCGGTGTCACTTCTCACTCAGTAAACAGCACGGAGTAGGAATGAGAACGAAGCCGGTCTCCTGTCTCACTCACACAATAAACCTTTTCTCACTTCCTACACAGTTTTCGGCCACTATTATTGTTTATCTATCGAGCGTAGATATACTTTGCGATGCTACAGAGACTGTGAATTATCCAAGAGGGTTTTTGAACCCATTGGATATGCCAAGCATGCCATCGCATAATTTACAACTGAAAGTTGGATCGCTCCGTAATTTAATTCCACCACGGCTGTACAAAGGCACGCGATTATTCATTAAAAATTAATGATGATCGTTGTCGAAGCTATCATTTTAAATGGCAAGTTCCGAGGTGAAAGTATATGAATACCACGAATTCCTATTATACCTACCTACAGATGTGCCAGTTCATTTTGAACATGTACAATTCCCAATTAGATCGGCATTTGCAATGACCATTAATGAGTTCCAAGGCTGAACAATGTCCGTTTGTGGCTTGGATTTGAGCACACCATGCTTTTCACAGGGACAATTATACGTACCATGTTCTCGAGTGGGCAAAAGATCCGGTTTATTTGGGTTAGGTTAGGTTAGGTTAGGTTACAATGATGGAGAAGTAATAAGTCAAAAAAAAATTCCCATGAAAATAAAAATATTCTACAACCATTTTCAGTACGCCCTATCTTCTGCCAAGGACCCCAAAGCATTAAAAAAATTAGGAACCTATGTTGCAGCAGCTGGAACAATCTAATGGGCTGAGATACCGACCGTAGTTTGGTCATTTGTGTCTATGGAAAGAATCAATAAACTAATATACATTTTTTCATCATCTTTACATGGTTTACTGAAATGACATTGATTTCAAATCCATTCGACAATTATGATATCTTCAATACAAACCAATTTTCACTGATTTATAGAAAAATACCACTATATAATACTTTATCTTTTGGAAAAATGACCTATGGGTGTGTATATAATTTCGATATCGTCATTCCAGTGATCATGATTATTTCTTTCGGCAACTAAATTGAGTAAATTAGACACCTTGTAACCATTCGATGAAGTAGGTCGTTGTCCTACCTATTATTCGATAGACGATAATCGCCTCATTAAACTTTTATTAATCACAACATAATCACAAGTTATTTTCCGAAGGAATGAAAAGTAATTAAGGGTATCTAATAATGACGTCCACATTGAAAAAATCATTTCAATTTTCGCTGCAATTATTCCATTCTATCATGTTCTAGCAACACAAAGTTAAATCGAAACAGTTAGCATAATACAAATAGTATACAGCTTGTCAAATCTAGGAAGAAACTTGAAAAAGCTGAGGTATCTTCTCTGGAACTACGTTTCCACTGGAGCAATACCAAGCAACTTTCGTGTTGCTGATGGATCAAAGAATTTGCATGAAACTTTGTGAAAAAAATTGCTCCCTGCGAATTTTTCTCGTTTCCAAGAGTGAAGGGGCCCATGAGAGGACGGCGTACAATCATCGTATGCCACTGTCAACATTACAAGTAATTTTGGGCACTTAATTGAATTTTTTACACAAAATTCCATGCAAATTCTTCGATCTATTTTGTTCGACAGCGGAAAATCGCCGAACACTCAAAAGAGTCCTAACTGTTATGCCTCTCACCAACAAACTGATCTTGCTAAACAGATGAAACTGTGAAAACGTGTTCGAAAGGTGTGTACCGACATGATATTGTAACGAATCTAAAGCCGCCCCTGACCAGTACGTCGGCCGATTCATGTAACAAACATCATCGCGAAAGAATGCAGTCGGGAATCGCCGGTAAAACTCTAGAACCGTACCGACTACAGATTTCTAGAAAGGACCGTTACCGATATAAGGCCGGCTTCCCGATCCAAGAAGGTAATTCAGAAAGTGAATCGAGCGGCTAAACAAAAAATTCAAATAGTGGAAATAAATTAAGCGTTAGTTAATTAAGTGTTGTAAATGAATTAGTTTGTGATTAGAGAAATATTGTTGGAAATAAATTTGTTTAAGACAGTTAATTCTTTAATTTGTTACAATATAATGAAAAAAAACATTAAACGAAATTACGTAGCCCACGAAATTTCACAATTCACCTTATTTTTTGAACAGTCGGCGTATGTTAGATTTCACCTAAATCAAACTCATCGATATTAAATAGATAATTTTACTTCCATCCAACCATTTTCTCTTTTCCTCTCTCTCATATAATATTTTTTTGAACAATATATGACAAATACAAACAAGAGATTATGTAGTAAATAATCCACAGCATACTATCCAACTATATAACATAGAGTAATGAATGAATTGAATTGAAAGACTATTCCACTGTATTATTGTTTTCTTTCACTCCATTGACTGAAACCCATTCATAAGAAAACAAGAGGCATGTTTCTAATGAGAATCCAACCACGTGTTCTTTTTATGTGTGCCTAAACTATGAAATAACAGTAACAATAGATTTAGTAACGCCAATAAGAAATTTTTTTCTGAGTTCAGCGGCACCACTTTCTATTTCCTTCAATACATCATTACAGTCATGTGAATTGATACAGATTGAAATTATTCATGAAATCCTTACGAACAATGTAGAATGATGTAATAGTTTCTCATTCTTTAAGTCGATTTCATTATTGGAATTGGAATAAAGTCTATAAAGAAAAAGACTGGTGATATCATCATCTTCATTGCATATCATTTAAATGTATTCATATTTGAATTGAAATAGGTACAGAAAAAAACTTGTGCGCCGTCACGGGTCGCCAGCAGATGTGAAACATCGAAATTGGTTTGTACAAGTAATGTGCATAAAGGAACAGATAACAACAGTAACTAATACGGCATACTTAATGTCAAAATGAAAAATTAGGAATTTTTTCCAGACGTATTGGAAAATGCTCGAAAACTGGATGCTCCACGATTTGAACGATCAACAAAAATCATCACTTTTCCAGGACTGTTTTTCTTTGCGCTTTTGTACAACCAAAACGATCATTTATTTTTAAAAGCTTTTATTTAACTTGACTTGTATGTATGTTAACAAATCTTGCAAGTTTAATTTGACCCACTTCCCGGTATCCGATTGACCTGAAATTTTGCATGCTGGTCCAGAACCGATAACAATGCATGTTAATCATAAACGTGACCTGATGCTGCTGCCAGGATCGGCTCCGTACGAGAGATCTCCTTAGCGGTGAATATCAGGGACACGAAATTTTGTATACGCATTCGTTTATGATAGGCAGTCGGTAGGCCCACTATGGAATAGATGTCACATCCAGGGTTGGCTTCAATAAAAAAATATAATTCTAGAAAAAAAATTAAATCAAGCTTTCACCTTTAAATACCTACTTCCCGACTCTAAAAAGAAGACAATAGATGGTGTAGTAGGTTGTAAGAACCCATATTTATTTGCATTGTAATTAAATAATTACACAAGATAGTCTAATAGAGTGTACTAAAAGAAAATGATAATATAAATTTGAATAATATTATACCATCTGATATAAACAAGACTGGGGGATTCCCTAAAGAGTTGAAAATATTTGTGGGGGCCAAGGTGATGTTGTGATACAATGTTGATGCGTCTAAGGGTCTAGTAAATGATGTCATCAGTCATATAATAGAAATTATATGGCCCTGTTTCCGGAGAGCACAAATGTATGACACAGACATTCCATCAGTCCGTATCGACTTCGGCAAAGATGGGATCCACGTTATTCAACCGAAATCTGTGATATTTCCAGCTAAATTTAGCCATGGTACAGCTGAACGTAGAATGTTGACAATTGTTTTATGCTAGGCTTGTACAGTTCACAAAATGCAGGGTAGTACGGTTGACCACGCTGTTGTATACTTGTTCAAAGTTGTTCGCTGCCGGCCAAGCGTACGTGGCTTTAAGTAGGTCACATCAATAGAAGGCCTCCTGATAGAAGAATTAGACTGTTCGAAATTAACTGGGACTCGGCCATGTAATAATGACGCCATCAATGAAATGAATAGACTAAGATATGCAAAAACCATATCAGCCATTTCAGCATTCGTAAAGTCGGGCGTGGTACCAAAAAATCACTTTATAAACTCCGAACTGTGAATTTGTCAATTAATAGTTAAAAATGTGACAGCGAACTTCTATTTTTATAAACAAACTTTCATAGCCTACTCGATTTAATTAGCTCAATTTGTAAGCGGAAAGTGACAAAAATTGAAATAAAATTTGGCTCTAAAGTAATATGCATCAATATAGAAAATTGTAAATATCTCGAAAACGATCACCTCCAGCGTTGTTGAGGAAGTGTACCTTTTTTACTTGGAAAAGGTGTGGGAATTAGGTCTTTTCATGAAAAGTACCGAAAGTTTACTGTCGAAGAAGTTAGGGCAATTTTAAATAAATAATGACAGTGTACGCAGCGCCCTCTAGATATTACATGAAAATTAATACGATTTCCCACGTCAAAAAACCCCGGGTACCGAATTTCTTGCAAATAACTTATTTTTTCCAAGAGTTATTTTCAAAAAGCGAACAAAAAAATTCATTTTCAACACTCCGTATCTCCGAAACGAAGCATTTCCGGACATAAGTTCATGTAGACTATTTTTTTTGAAATTGTCTCAGGAATACGTCACTTGAATATTTTAACGTTCTTATGTTACACCCTGTATTCATGGACTGGATAGGGAAATTAAAGACTCATTAAACGAGAAATAAAAGTTGATAACATCTTTTTGGTGGCGAAAAGCTCATACTGTTCGTTTTTTATGAAAAATGTAAATGTTGTCTGACCTTGGCATTTAGTCTGTTCAAAAGTTAATAGGGTAACAGGAATTTTCACATCCACACTGTATAAAGGTAATACTGGTGTCAGCGATAAAACTTGGGAATATTCCTGATATTGAAGTCAGTTATTTCATGCTTTCTTATACTTCATTTTTTTTATAGTCGAACCTCAAGGGCTCGTGCTCCCAGCCACTATTCATACAGAAGCGGAATGACACCATCTGTAGCGAGCACAGCTAAATCGAAAGGTTCCAGAAAAGCCGGAATGACCGTAGAAGCCATGGCAGCACCTAACCCATTCTGTCCAAATATCAAAGGAATGTGTTGTTTGATGCTTCTATTGAACTTGGCCATTATTCTCGTCACTTTAGGATTTGTTATCGTCATTCAGTTCTTCGATCCCCTTTATGTTTGGTGAGTATTGTGTCATCCATTAGACATTCAACACGTACGTTATTTGTTAAACAAAATAGGTTTCAGTGTAGAGAAATATACTTCATGGCCAGTTTAATAGAAATAACAAAGCCATATTTACTTATTTGTATTTGCCTATATCTTTAATGATACCCTTGACAACTGCAAAAACATATTTCGACATAAATGATCTGAATAATGGGGCTTTCAAGTTTGTAAAATTAAGTGTTGTTGATTTTCGAAAAAACTCCCGAGAATTCATAAGTGCGGTACACTGAGAGACAATATACAAGGTGGCCAAACGAACACAAAGAACTGTTATCAGAAACTGCCTCAACATACAAGACGAGAGTAATACTGGTTGCAGCAAGATCATTGCAAAAAAATCTGAAATTTCTTATTTTCGAATCAACCACTGTTTGAAATGTTGGATGACGATTTGAGGCAACAGCAAACTTTGACGATAGAGGCCCTAGTTTCAATGTGGGGATGCTTAGCATTCTGCATACTTCCCATAGAAGCCCATAAGTACGATTTTAGTGTATCCTGCAATTTATAGTACCTACCCTGACCACCAGAGGCCGACGGCAGTTCCATGTAGGTATTTGATGTGGTTACCCAAAGAATGGGCTTGTTTTATGATTTTTTGTTTATAGTTCACTTGACAAAAATTTCGAATTGAAAAACATTGCACTTTTTCTCATCTCTCTAAGTACCGTAGTTTTCCCGAAATTAATTATTAAAAAGCGAATGTGGTAGGGTGGTGACGTCACGACCCTATTCCCGCTTCTTGTTCGATTGACCAATAGGATCAATAGAATAGAATAGAAATAATCAACGTTGCCAAATCGTACAATTCGCGGAGCCTATAATTAGCAGTTTAATTATGGAAGTGTATATGAATCCGTTAACGTTTCAATTAATGAAAAATTATCCGCATGGAATAAAATGTACACGAAAAATCATGTTTGGAAATAAGTTCTATATCTAAAATCACAAAATATTTACCTACACTATGATTTTATGCATTATTTAATAATATACAGTTATGAAAATAAAAAATATAGCAAACTGAGCATTCATGCCACCCACCAAAAATAAGAAATTCAACGTTACTGGCATATTAGCCATATTGTCATCCAGTCAGCCAGCGCCCTCTGTAGTGCATGCGACAATGTACTCTTTCTAATGTCAATGGTTTTCACAAACTTCCTATTTTTCTTAAAATAATTTCGAAATGAATGCCTCTCGACTTAAGTTGACTCCCGACAACTTTCCAAGAGTCGATTTTGAAATGATCGATGAATTTCACTTGAAAAATGTGCAATACTTTGGTACCGAAATGAAGAATGAAAAATTGAAACGGTAGGTGTTATATTTAGAAGGTCCCTTTTATTTATATGACATTCATTCCAGACTTTGTCTTTTATCGAAGGATGAAAAGTTTTGATTTAATTTTTATTTCATTTCTGCCAAGGAGCAGTATGGTGACTGAAAAGAGAAGCAAAAATATGTGCAGTGAAATGTAGAATTACTCCGGAACATATCATTCCAATATCATTCCGGAACATATCATTCCTGAAAAAATATTTTTCGGAATGAAAACTAATGACACGGAATATGCAGCAAAATAGGCACCCGCACCCACCTTTTACAAAAAAACGTTCTTTATTTAGATAATTGTAACAGTTGTATTCACACCGAGTTGATAACAATAACAACAAAAATGGCGTCTGTAAAATTGGATCATCAGATCTGTGATTGGATATTAAAAACCAATACACTTGGCAACTCCGCTCTAGACACGATCAATTTTATTGGTCAACAGACACGCGGCCAATTTAAATTCTTTCTTTTCGAATTATTCTTTTTTCTGCAAATATAGAGAAATTTTGGGATCGATTAGGCTTGATAGGTATAGTATACCCCTAACTCGATCAGTCTATAAGCAGCAAACCAGTATCATTTTCCATAGCATGAAACAAGCCCATTGGATAGCAGTCGCCGAATCATATCGAAGTCGCGATGTGCGACAAAATTTTATTACATTCTTATTAGACAGTGGACTATGCTTAAAGACTGGCAATAAACAAATTTAAAGAAAGGAACTTTAAACGTTCAAGCCAGTCTCAGATATACCTACACAGTAGGTTGAATGGACTGACGCCTATCAGAAAACAACTATTACCGTGGCTAATACCATGAAGGGCGTTGGATTATCTCCGACAGGCGTCAGTGCAGGAGTCTTCACAGAAAATTTCTTAATGGCAATACAACTGAAAGAGTTGAACTTCAATTTTGGAACGGGCACACTTGCAGACCGGTTTCAGGCTCATTAGCCACTCATCAGTGCAAGATAGTGGCCATCATCGACCTAAAGTCAATGAAATTCCATAATTGAAAATCGGAATTCTTTCAGAGTATTTCATTCCTCTTCCTAAGTTAAAGCGAACAACAAAATGTCACTCCATCTAGTGGACGAGGTACCAACCAACTGCATATCTGAAATTTGCCCGATTCCTTCGAATAAGGAAGAAAAACTTTCTTATTAGTCAGTGGGCTATGCTTGGAGACTGGCAGTAAACAAATCTAAAGAAATGAACTTTAAATGTGCAAGCCAGTCTCAGATATACCTACACACTAGGTTGAATGGACTGACGCTTCTCAGAAAACAACTACTCCCCTGGCTAATACCACGAAGGGCGTTGGATTATATCCGACAGGCGTCATCGGTCTCTGGTGGTCAGGGTAGGTACTATAAACTTCAGGTTATACTAAAATCGTACTTATGAGCCTTTATGGGCTTTGTATTCTTTGATATTGCCTAAAACGATAATCTCTTTTCTAAAACTGAAATACTTGAATATTTATTTCATATATTACTTCAAACAACATGACAAATTCCACCATTCAAAACAATAATAAGTAGTACAATCAGCGTGTCTGTAGTTCCAAAAATTATTTCAGTGCAAATAGCACCCTCAAAAATGATTAGAATGAATAAATCGACAATCGGAGCATCATCTTATCAAAACTGCAATCAATGTGATCTCACCAGAAAGATAATCCTAATAAAAGTGGGTTTGTGAATAATGGCAATGAGACAACAATTCTAACTGTTGAAAAGGGTCTGTTAAAATCTGTTTTCAAGTCAACCAGCACGTAGCGGTCACTTTCCAACGAACGACAACCCTAAAAAGTTGAAACCTGTGTGACCTAAGGACTAACGAGGTGTTACCTTTCAACGTGCGATTCCTTCCAATACCAAATCTCAGCATATTGGATAATGATCGGTAATTCGTTTCGTGATATGGAATTCTGAATAGTATGACTATCATTGTATTATTTCACCGGATATTATTTCAAACAGAACAAATGAATCATGTTATGCTCAAGAGTTTCTGAAGAGGGAATATTGAGATATATCCATTTGTTTTGTACTCCTTCTAAAGCAAATTCAAATCGAAGATAGAGTGGATGTAAACATTGACATGCCCTACGCACGTGATATTGAAAATCCCAAGAATTGGCCAGGATCGTAGTATATAGAAAA